CCCCAAAACCCCAAAACCCCAAAACCCCAAAACCCCTCTTATAAAAATACTTATTGAAAGGCTTCATAAGGAAAGAACTCTTTTGATCTTGTCAGCCTATGCACTCTTGGGTTCTCCCAGTACTTGGAGTATTTCTTACTGTGGATTATAGCCATCCGCTCTTTGCTACGCTTCAATGCTGATTGCTGCTCATCTAGCTTGCTAATAAAACTCGACTCATTTTCAATATAAGTCTCTGCATTTAAACCAAATCTTGGTTTCTAGAACAAAATTTGTCAGGCCAAATTAGGAGGAAATATAAGATCTAAGATTTTTGATAACGATACACTCAGATTCAGGAATCAGATTCGCATATTTTGGCATCTTTTTAAAATACAACCTATTTCTACTAGCAGCGTTAAAATATACTACTTTAGGCCCACATATATAACTGGGTAGTAAATTTGGTTCTCATTGACCCATTTCTTCATGAGAACCAACCCTTATGCTCATAATCAAGATAGGCACTTACCTTCTGTTGAAAATTCTTATTTATATCTCCTTCTCTTTTCTTGCAAATCAGCTGACTTCTTCTTGATGTTCCTGAGTATTTTCATACGTTCAATTTCTTGTTCATTCTGGCGGCCTAAGATCTGTTGAGGGCTTAGCTCATCAGCGACTTTATAGTTGAAATTCTTAATGGTTTTGTACAATTCTTCATCTTGCTCAGATCCCTAGAGATCAGAAATAGGTATTTACAGTGTACATCTTGCCTGTTAGGGTTTGTTGGAGTTTATTTATTCTTCCAACCAATTCCTACTGTGTTACCGAAGCCAGAATGAGTACTTCCAGCCAGGAAAGGACCTGATTTCATGTTGCTAAGGTACTTATCCTTCTTCTCTTTCTTTCTGAGGAAGTATCTCCAGTGTGAAGGGCTCTCAATAGTACTAATGATGTCTAACACTGATGCCTTTTTAATGTTGAAAGCGTTCTTATGAGTTTTTGGGATTTCTTTTATATTTGGCATACTATTGTGCTTCTTCATACCTTTAGCGTTAGAGTCTTGGAAGATAGACATATCCTAAACAGCTTATGCTATAACCTTACGGTTTTATCAACTTTCTTGTCTTTGAGAGCCTTTAGGGAGCTGATCTATTAGCTTTTAGAGGACAAATTTACCTCATCTATCTCATTCATTAGGTTCTTTGGTATTTCATAGAGTTCATCTTTGGCTAAGGAGGGGTAATTATGAAATCTTACGGTTCAGCTCCCTAGCTGTTTTGAGCATCCCAGATCTATTGAAGTTATTCTGAACCAGACTATTTCTGTAACCCATTATTCTGTTTTTATTCACTTTGGCTTGTTGGGAACCGGCTCTCCTTTTTGTAATTATTCTAAAATTTGAACAGAGATTTACTTTTCATCAGGAGCAAACACATTTATCCGACTTTGTTTAGATTGCTGCCGAAGCTCCTCTTTCATCTGGATTCGCATTATTTGTCCTTTTTCAGTCACAATGAACCTCATTTTATTTTATTTTTCAAGTAGAAAATATTATAAAGGGGTTTTGGGGTTTTGGGGTTTTGGGGTTTTGGGG